GCCCCAAAGCCGAAAACTCTAAAGCCTAAACCCTAAACCATCCTAAAGCCTAAACCCCAAAAGCCTAAACCCTAAACTACCCTAAGGCCTGAGCCTAAACCACCCTAAACCCTAAGACCTAAAGTGCCCTGCCTTCTTCTCCTCCTTCTTGGCATGCCAAGCCTTTCCCTCATCAGTCTCCTGCCAGGCTTGCTGTAGAGATTACCACGAATATGGTTCAGGGATTTAGGGATTTAGAGCTTTAGGGTTTTAGGGTGTTAGGGTGTTAGGGCTTTAGGGCTTGAGGGCTGATTTAGGGCTTTAGTTTTCTTCACGGGTGTTGGGGTGTTAGGGCTTTAGGGCTTTAGGGTGTCAGGGTTTAGGGCTTTAGGGTTTTAGGGTTTTAGGGTTTAGGGTTTTTAGGGCTTTAGGTTGAGGGTTTAGGATTAAGGGTTAAGGGGTTCCGTGGGTTTAGGGTCTATAGGGGACCATGTGTTATTTCAGGATACACACATATTCTTTACGGGGTCCTTATCAAAAAAACGAAGGAACATTTTAACAAACTTCTGTGTACCCAGAAAGCCCAATATTCCGTAATAAGGGAATACACCTGAAACCATATCAAGGATCCCAATATGATTTAGGGTATAATCCCTATTTGTGGGATATTGGGCTTCCTGGGTATGTTGCACAACGTAAGGTTAACGTGGAGTTGATCGTCCAAACAAAATAATGATCCGTCCCGCACAAATAAAATACGAGGAGTCTCGTTATCCTAAGTAGACATCCTAGGAGGGTTCTACAGATTTTGCCGCAGGCTTCCCTAAGGGTCCATGTACCCAATATTTAGGTACTTGGGATATTTGTAATAGGAATTATAGTACAGATTTGGGGTAAGTATATGAGCTGTAGTCTAAGCTCCTAGTATCCCCCTTAATAACCCCTATAGTAGTCCCCTATATAATCCCCTGTATAACCCCCCTTTAAGGAGATAAGCCTATAGCTCATATGAATATTGGGGTACTTGGACCCTTAGGCTTCTGTACAATGAAACCATCGGAGCAGCCACACTGAGAACCAAGGTGCTGAAGTTCCAAAGAGATTGCCATTAGACTCCCGGAAACTAACATGGAAACCCAAAATGGGCCCTATGAAGACTACTAAAAGGGGACCCTATGGATTTCCATGTTAGTTTGGGAGAGTGTATGGAGGACCTCAACCCCAAACCCTTTACCGATCTCTTGGCAGGCAAGATTACCTTACTCCTCGCTCCATGAAGAGATGTGAGCAATCATCCTCAACAGCCATGTAGATAGGGGGAGAAACAAAAACCACTTTTTCAGGGCAGATTCTTATATTTGGATTCCATATCGGGGCCCCCACTTCTGGAAAACCCCATCTCCAATGTGAAACAAGAATCCTACATCCTTGCGACAAGGGACTTAAGCTCTCTATAACAATCCCTGCAACCTCCATGCCTCGAGAGGCCTCTCTGAGAACATCTAACTCTCGATGTGGTATGCTTCTTATGCCGGAACCCAGCAGCTTTGAGCCACCAGAGGGACTTAAGTCTCAATACAATAGTAGTAGCCTGGCAAGGATCATTGCTAAATACGGTGGCAGCCCCCAGCGCCGCAGCCTTCCATTCCTCATACATCTTTCGGACGGGCCACTTGTCGCTGTAGCCTTGCATCTCCCGGTCTTCATGCTTGCAATTACGAATTATAAGGCTGCCAATAATAGCTGCTAGGGTTAGGGCTTCCAAAAGGAAGGGGAAGGGAATGTGCCCACCATCCTTGCAGGTCCAGGGTTCAGGGTTTAAATGGAGCCCTTGGACCGACATGAACCCCATGACAAGGACACCCTCCACCCACGATCGACCCCACAGAATGCTGGATGGGGGTTCGATTAAATCTCATGTCGAAGTCCCGGGCCATGCATCTTTTGTAGTGGCCAGCCGCATATGCCCTGATTCCGTCCTTTCAATTCAAAGGGATCAGCACAAATCCATCCAGAAAACAGACATCATCTCTTGTTGCATGGCCATAACTTAAGTTGCGCGCTAATTGGGAAGTAGCAAGGTACACACAACAAGCCACAGCCTTGGGACACTACATCCGTGCATGCTCCCTTATGGCATCTGCCATCCCTCTCAAAATGCTACCCTAAACCTTAAACCTTAAACCCAACCCTAAATCCAGACTCTGGGTGTCCGACGGTCGAAGTTGGTTCCCATCCATGGCTCGTACTTCTGCGGCGCCTCGATTGCGTCTGGGTTAACATGCATTTGCCCTCTCACCTATAGGGTAATATAAATTGTATGGGGATAATAGGAAATAAAATGGAAATGACTAGAATGGGTTATATAGGGGTTATATGGAGGTATATAAATGGACAGATGCGTGTCTGGAGACAACGATAAAACGACAATCCATGTCTACATACTAATGGATCGCTCAGGGTGGGAGGTGCCCAGAAAGCCTGGGTTTAGGGTTTAGGATTTAGGGTAAACCCTAAACCCTAAACCCTAGACCCAGGGTTTAGGATTTAGGGTTTAGGGTTTACTGACTAGCCATAGAAGAGCCAGGACGGTTCTATGAGCTGTAACCTAAACTCCTTAAGGGCGGTTATAGAAAGGATTATATAAGGGACTACTATAGGGGATATCAAGGGGGATACTAGGAGTTTAGACTATTTTGGGTTTAGGTTTTAAACTCCTAGTATCCCCCTTAACCCCTATAGTAGTCCCATATATATATATGTATATATATAGTCTTCCCCTTCACAACCCCCTTTGAGGTGTTTAGACTATAGCTCATATAACCGCCTGTATAATCCCAGTTTCCATGTCATTTTCCATTCTCTTTTCCACTTGATTTTACATGATTGCGGGAAATATAATCCCTATATACATATATGTGGATAACTATATAGCTATAGCTCAGGTGGAATGGTCAGCTCCACAGCCTTTCTTGTTGGAAGATCATCGAAGTTCTGCTTCTGGCCAGGTGACTGCAATCCAGGTTTAGGGTTTAGAGTACCCCTTAAGTAGATAGAATTTGGCTTTGGGTATATTATAATAAGATCCCCATATAACCCTTATTCTATCTACTTAAGGGGGAGTATAACCCCAATATATACCCCATTAAATTATAGTAGTTTCCATTTTCTTTTCCATTATCCCTATATAGCCCCTATAAAGCCCCATATTCCCTAAACCCTATAATATTCTATCTACTTAAGGGGGACTCTAGGGGTGCAGGGGTTGAGGGTTGAGACGCGGTTTAGGGTTTAGGGTTTAGGGTTTAGGGTTTAGGGTTTAGGGTTTAGGGTTTAGGCCGGGCGCCCAAGATTTAGATCCCGAGATGGTTGGGTGGTGTGTGGCGGGTAACCATACCTTTGGAACAAGACCCCATGGATATTTCGACAAGTTGGGACCCCCTTAATTGTCCCAATACTACCATGCGCCTTCCAAGAGTGACACCCAGAAATGGACCCCTAGTTTTTGGAACCCTAAGCCCCACATATCCTCGTATGTCCGTAGTAGAGCCCCTGATCCCACTTCCATACATGTATAGATAACTGCGAATATATATATATATACGGATGCACACATACACATCGTAAGATAGCCCTGGGAAACATCCCAGATTTTTGGAAGCTGCAGCTAATCAAAGTGTCCAGGGCACCAGGGTGGTCGTTGTGGACCAGCGGCACTTCTTGGTTACGTACTCCCAAGGCACCACGCTCACCTGCGCGGCAATAAAAGATGCTAAACGTAGGAGTCTCATCTGTAGGGTGCTCCAGGGCATCTGCGTCGTTTACCGAAGCAGGATGTAATTCGATAATTACAGTAGGACTGCAGCAAGAAACTGTTGGAGAATATCATTCGGGTCGGTCTGTTGTTATTATGCAGGTTCCTGAGCATTCCCAGTGATCTTTGTTGCTGTGTCAGTAACGGCAGCTACTAGCTTGAACTTCTAGCCCGTAGCATCATGCTTCTCGTTACAAGCCTCACGTCAGAAAACCCAAACTTGATAGCCATACTAGGCATCCTCTCCCATGAAAAAGCCGTTTGCAGGACCAAATGCTCAGATGCTGCCGTTACAGGCTGTCCGCCGCTGTTTGCTCAAAAGCAGTGTCAACCGACGAAAACAGACTTAAAGATCACAACCTGCTGCGGTCTACACACTCCCCAAGTCAGGCCTAAACCCTATATAACCCGTCATAGTAGCTTCCATGTTCTTTTCCACTATCCCAGTATAACCCATTATAGTCGTTTCCATTTTCCTTTCCCATTATCCCAATATGTTTAAACTACCCATGCTTTACAAATTGCTGGGGGCACATGATGCCTTAGGCCTTGGCTGCCGAGCTCCCTTCAGCTTCAAAAGGGTTGTTCTCAAAAAAGAACCGGTTATACAGAGCCTGTATAGAGTTATAGTTATATAGGGTTCTATACGGGTTACATAGGGTTCTAAAAGGGTTATAGGGGCTCTTCTCGAAATTTTGGTTATAGGTCATGTTACGGGACCTGATATATAGGGGTACCAAAATAGGACCCCCAACTTTGGGAACTACCCAAGAGCCAGATCCAGTCTGAGTTGGACTGCGGGCTTGCGTAAACCCTTGAAGCCAGGCATCTAGAAGTCAAATCCAAAGGCAGCCAAATGGCCCAACACTCCCCAAGTAAGCCCTAAGCCCTATATAACCCATCATAGTAGTTTCCATGTTCTTTTCCGTTATCCAGAAAAGAAACATTATAGTAGCTTTCATTTTCTTTTCCATTATCCCAATATATGTCAACAACTAGCTTGCTCGTGGCTAAGCACTCTATGAGTAGAAGACCAACAAAGAGCAACGTCTCTCAGGTCCGTGAAGAGAGCAAAGCTTGAGGAGGTATGGGGTTGCCATCTCAAAACTCCCATGGTGGCTTCCAAACTCCTGAACCTTCAACCCCTACCTACGAAGTCCCCAAGCACTGAACCCTGAATCCCTCAGCCACTCTGAACTTCAGACGCCTCCTTGTGGCGGTAGTCACCGCGCCACTGCACGATGCCGTCTCTCATGGCAATCAGCGACATGTCCCTCAATGCCACATCCGGTAGAGAGGAAGTTGAGAGAACCGTTCAGGCAGCACACAGGAATTACGCAAGCCTATGTACGCACTCGGAGAGTATGGAGGGCCTACACAGCGATGCCGCTACATGCAAACCGAACTTGGGGCATCCAAGCTAGCTGCCACAGCCAAAGCAGAAACATTCTTGAGCTGCCATCAGGAGACTTGCACATCTTGACATTGTTTCCTGGGTACCAGGTCATCGCTCGCCTCGTCCGTGTGATTTGGGAGCTTCCCAAGCGAGGAGTACCCTCAAACACTCTAGGGACATTCCGGGATTATGTCGGGATGATTGTGTGAAATTCCGATTTCGGCCACAGGCAGCAGGTGAAGTTTCCCAGGACATTACATATGGGACTTCGAACTTCTTGAGGGACACAGCTTCTGTCCATCCATCTGTAGATACATACATATATGGTACCCCTGCCATGAACCCACTAATACACATATGAGACCCGGACTAAATTTGCAGCATATCCCTTAATAGGTCCCCCCCAAAACCCAATATAGTTCCCTATAGGTGATCCCAACCTAAATTTAGTCCGTAGCTCATACGAGCTATAGTCTAAACTCCTAGTATCCCCCTTAATATCCCCTATAGTAGTTCCCTATATAATCGCTAAACCCTAAACCCTAAACCCTCAAGCCCATGTAAACTTACCATTACTTAGGGTACCCAAATTTTAAAATTTTGAAACCCAAAATCCGCCCCCAAACCCTAAGTAATGGTAATGAACCGTGTGACTATAGTATATATATATATACAGCGGCCTTTGAGCCTTATGGTCTCTCTCGTCCTGCAGAAGAGCAGGAGCTGTGTTGCATGCCCTGCCCAACCACCCACAGTAAGCCTTCCAACACTCGGTGTCGGGTTTAGGGTTTAGGGTTTAGGGAGGGTTTAGGCTTTAGGGATTAGGGGTAGGATTAGAGTACTTTCAGATTCCACATCAACACCCTACACCTTGCAGTAGACATTGGGGCTGTGGGTTCGACTTACACCACAATCATGCGCCTGCCCGCATCCCAATCCTGAAGTCCCTAAATCCTACGTTGAACACCCCAGCCCTGAGCCCTCCCGCTTGATAAATTCGCGATCCTAGCCCACAAAAACCTGAAAAATGCGTGAAACACACAAAATTAGCCAAACCTGCAAGAAGCAAGTCAGCGGCATCCCAAATCCCAAAACTTTAACCCCAAAACCCTCCAGTCCAAAACATCCAGCAGAAAAAACCTCTCCAAAGAGAAACCCACACCATGAGGCCTGCGCCCCTTCTTCAACCCTAGTCTTAAACCATAAGCCCTAAACCCTAAATCCTTAAGCCTAAGCCCTAAACCCTAAATCCTTCACCCAAAGCCCTAAACCCTAAATCCTCAACCCCAAACCCCAAACTCTACAGCTCCGAACGAGGTGCTGCTTCACAAGGCGTTGGCGGACCTTCACGGCCTTGCCAGCCAGGGCCTTCACCTGGGCTGAGCACTGCGAGCAGCAGCTACAATAATAGAAGTAAGAATACTAATCATAGATATAATTAAAGATAATAACAGTCATAGTAGTGGTAATACTAGTAAAAGTGATAGTAATGACGATGATACTCATAGTGAATATAGTAGTAGGGGTGATAATAGCAATAATAATTGTAATCAGAATAAGAATAACAATAGTAATAGTAATAGTAATGATAGTAATAGCAACTAGTCATAGTAGCAACAAAAATACTAATAATAATAATGATAATAAGTTGGAAGAATGGTCACAAAGCTAGTTAGCATCAGTGGGAGGAGTATTGATGAACACTATGTGTGATATCAACAAAGATGAACAGGTTCATATGGAAAATCTCAACGAGCAGAAAAAAAAACTTACGCTACCTCTAGGTTTCGGGACTTGAGGAGCAGTGATGGTTCTCTTCTTGCGACAATAACAGTACCTCGCACTGGCCCTGATTTATGAGGACGACAGCGCTGCCACTGCCGCTGCCGCAACCGCGAAGCAGTTGCAGATCAACAATGAAAGCAATGTTGAAAACCAAAAAGATGCTAACAATCAACATAGCAACATCCCTACATGGCAACGCGGTCAGATCAGCGTTTCTTTGTGAACTGTGCCGCGGTGGGCAACAAGCTTCTCAAGGGGTCTGCGAGCGCGGTAGGGATTAGAATCCCTTGCACCTTACTGTTACTCCTTCTACTATTCCTGCTACGAATGTCAGTGATTACTAGAGTAACCCCCTCACCCTCATCATCATGAACCTTCACCTCAACAACTTTATTATCATGGAGGAAAATATGTCATATCTGCTGTTGGGAAGGGTTTAGGGATGTATTCTCACACTGATGTCTTCTCACCTGTCCGATGCTAAGGAATCCCTAGTGACTTCAAGACTTCTTAGCAGGCTTCCAGTAAAAGGTCTTCATGTGAGGCATAATCTAAACTCCTAGTATCCCTCTTACTCACCCTATACTTCTCTTATTCCCTACATAACCCCCTTCATGGAGTTTAGACTAGCTTATATAACCCCCTATATAATCCCAGATTCCATTTCATTTTCTCCATAAATTGGGGAGTGATATGCCCTAAACCCTAAACCCTAATCTCTAAACCCTGTAAACCCTCATCCCTAAACCCTCAACCCTAAATCCTAAATACTAGGGACTCGAACTATTTCTCCTTAAAACAGCCAGCGAGCGCCCCAGTGATGAGGATTCCTCGAGTTGCCCTGATTCTTAGTACTCGCCGCCGCCTGGCGCAGTGCAACTACTTCCACAGGGTTTAGGGTTTAGGGTTTAGGGTGTAGGGTTTAGGGTTTAGGGCAGTAGGGGTTTAGGCTGTAGGGTAGTAGCCATAAAATAACTGTCGCACAAAGAAGAAGTGCGGCCTGCAAAAAAAAAAACTGGTATCAAGGCTCAAATGGGGACCTGCTCAAAACTGCTTATGCCTTTCAGCCATGATAGTTGTGTGAAGAGGGAGCCAGAAAGAGGGTCAGATTTTGTTTGCTCTAGTGCTGCACAAAGACATAGGCACCTGACTGGCCCTGACGTCCTACATTCCGAGTTCCCAGAAGCTTTGCAAAATCACAGCCAACTTCAACAGTACAAATAAAAGCAAGCAAAACGGGTACCGCCAGTTCGGGTGAGTTCAGCATGTGGCCCTGTAGCTTACAGCATTCCAGGCATTCTCCTCTGTGTCTACTGCGGAAAGGACCTGAGAAAACTTGCCAGAACCATTGACCACGCCTGCCACATTTTCTTGATAATCCCCTCCGCCTCGTACTACATCCCCCCATCCTTTATAATAAACATTCCGCAATTATGCAATGGTACAATATTGGGAGTATTTGGTAATGTGGTACAAGGGGGCGGAGGAGTCGATATTTAGGCGGGGGGTCCCGCAAGTATCCTGCCTTTTCCATGTTGCAGCTACGCCCGTTATCGTTACAGCAACTCTACGGGCAACCATCTCTCTGCACAGCAATGAATCTCAGTTTCAGGGTTTGTTGCTTCGTTCAGGGTGTTTTCGGGGTTAAGGTACTTAAGAGAATCAACAGCAAACCAGTTTAAATAACTATGTTGATGATGACATTCTTGATAATACATTGATTATGCAGGATACTAAATTGGTCTAGTGAGGTTCTGGTTTAGAGCTTGAGGCCTCAGACAAGTTTTGAATTTTCATGCTCAGGGGGTTCGGAGTTCCGGCTCTCCGACCTTGGACTATCTGGTGCTGCCAGGATTACTGGAGCCAACCCTAAACCCTAAACCCCTAAACACGAACGTAAGGAATGGAAGAATGATCCAGGAATAATCAGTGCTTTCGAAACATAAGTTGGCCGCCATTCTCAGCAGAAGTGATGTTCCAAGGGACTGCCTGGCTTGCACTCTTCCAATCATCGCACTATGCTCCAAGGGACTGCCTGACAACTTGGACCCTACCAAGCCTCCAAAAACGTTCCTCAAAATTTTAACAACCAGTTTCCATGTTCTTTTCCATTATCCCTATATTACCCCAAATAGTAAGTTTCATTCTCTTTTCCATTATCCCTATACAACCCTCCAAGCCCAGATCCGCATGACCTAGGCACAGCTCTTTTGCCCTCACCCGGCGGGTGCAAAGGACTGCAGAGCCGAGATCTGCAGATCTACAGATCTTGTGCTGGACCCATGACTTACAGGGGCTTAAGGCTTAGGGTTTAGGGTTTAAGGAATAAGGAAATAGATTATATAGGGGTTATAGAGGGATTAGACTCCCTTATTCCCTAGTAAGAACCAGTAACATGATTTACGCAGGGTTTCTCATGTAAGCCCAGGGTCCCTCAAAGTAGGGCACCAAGACCGTCGTCTGGGTTACCACAACATGCTGGTTCACTGCAAAAAAAAGGTATTTGCATATATGCACAAGTAAAGTGGTTACATAAGGATATATATATATATGCTCTTATAGAGAGTGCGACGGCGTGGAGG